TATTTAAAGTGTAATAAAAATTATATTTTAAATTTATAATATAATGTATAATTATATAATTAGTTTTTTCACTTGAAAAAGTCCTAATGTGACAATATATATCTACTCATTTAATACTAAATTATAATTATAAATTTATAATTTTTGTAATATTATAATTATATCATTATCATTTGTTTAAATCTAGTCATAATGTTGTTCAATCTGTACTTTTAATTAATAAATGCACCTTTTAATTATAAATTTATATGAAAAATACAAAAATTAACATTAATTTTACTACTATACTACTTTAGATGAATTTAATTGATGAATTACTACATTAAAAATTAATTTTTATTTTTTAATATAAATTTACAACTAAAAAGTGCATGCATTGCAAGACACAAATAAAAAAAACCCAATATATATGTGTAGGATAAAAATTGTCTAATTAATTTTTTTTAAAATTAAATAATTGCGAATATGCTGTTGAGAATTCAAAGGCAAAATATGAATAGAAATTTTAACTAATATCTAAAATAAAATAAAAGTAGTCAGCAACTTAAATAATTTAATAGTTATCTCTTTTTATTGGAAATAAGAGATTCTGAATTTGAATGTATAACATACTGGTGAAATGAAATAAGAGATGAGAAATGATTGCCTCTCATTGTGTAATTAAGATAAAAAAATATAATATAATAAAAGTAAAAAAATCTTACATTTACTATTTTACCACTTTAATTTTGCATGTTTACACATCTATAAAATAACAAAGGAAGATATGTAATAAATACAAAAAAAGTTATTCTATTTATTGTAAATTAATTTTTAAAATTGAATACAAATTTTGTATTAAAACACATATCCCTAAGTGCATTTGCATATCGGAGGAAATAAAAAAAACTTACTTGAATCTAGGATGTTGCTGTAAATCTGAACGGAAGCAATTGGAACAGGAAGCCGCGACAGCCAAGCAGGGCCGTGACAGATGACAAATTCTCCTTTGATGGTAATGGTGCTTTTGCCACCAGACTCTCGCCTGCAGCGAACCCAGCGGAGGAAGCCTTTTGGAATAGTTGCCCTCATCTTCTTCAGTTTAATTCTGAGCAGTGGGGGAGTGTGGCTTTTATTTTTTGGGCTTTTGCATCTAATCCATTGCTTGACTGCAAGTTTTCCACAGCTCTTTTAAAATAAAATTCCATTCTTGCACCTTTATTTTTGCGGCAGTTGGTGTGTTGTATGCCATATTCTTTGTTCTACGTTGTACGTTTTCCTCAATTCGTTTCTCACATCAGAAGTATGTTTTGTGTGATAGTTCACACTGCAGGGCTTGTATGATTGGGGCTTGTATGCTTGGGGCTAATGGGTTTAATTGTTTTTTTTTAATTTTTTTTTCAACTTTTGTAAAAAAATTAGAAATAACTAAATTTTAATGCCTAACTTATATATATATTTATATGAAAGATTTACTTATAAATTTTATACACAACACTTATATAAAATCTCAACTATTCATCTTTTTATTTTTAATAATTAAAATTTATTAAATATAATTATTTTTTTATTTAAAAATTATGATAAATCTAAATTATTGAAGAATGAATAATTTTTTTTATATTAAATCCTTCAAATTATATTGGATTCCTATTAAACCAAAATAAAGATGGATTAGACTCTTGGAAGCTCTCCCAAAGTCTGCATTTCTATTTACAAGACTCCAACTCGATATTTTACTTAAAGAAACCTAACTTCTTAAGGAAATCGAGCACCTTCTGTTAAAACCAACGAACCATTATTCAAAGAATGATTGGATATCTATTTCTTAAAAAATAGAAGGAATACATATTCCCAACTTAATAAGTTTTTCAAATTTATCTTATTTGTCTTGCTGTGCATGATTTGCTTCAAAAGGACTTTTTCCTTGGTATTGATGATGGTGATCCCTTTTTTTTTCGGTTTCTCGCCTGATATCTGGGTTTCGTCCCGATTAATTCGGACCCGACTTGGGTCACACACCTGAAAATGGTGGGTAAGTCTCCCAACGCTACTGCATACGCAAGGACTCAAACTCGAGACCTTATTTAAGCTGGAACAAGCCGCTTGCCACTTAATCCAACCCCTCGTTGGTTGATGGTGATCCCTTTCCTCCGTCGCTTTTAAAGGTCTTCCCATGTGATGGTAAATGGAATTTCAAAAACTACAATTTCCAAATTTTCAGTTCTGTAATCATCTTTGAATAGAGCAATCTGAAGTAATGTTAACAAATTCTTCTATGTTAGAGTTAGTGAATCACTCACTATAGTACCATACATTTCATCGTAACTATATTGAAGAATCATTTAACATCTTTGTTTAACATTTCAAGCCTTAGGCACTGCAGAAATAGTTGCTGATATGATACAGGGTAATACCCCACATGTATGTTGCTAGTCAAGTATGTGCAGAAAAGAGGATTTTGAGAAAACAATCATGGACATGTTTAAAATTAGATTAATCTCTAAAGTTACAGATGAAAATGTTGAATTTTTCTGTTAACTACGACACTTGACATTCTTCTATGATTCTTTCTTCATTTTTAGGAACATCTGAGGGTGGTTTCTTTCGTTTCAAGTTTCAACTACTATCATGTTGCCATGCTTTTTTCTCTTTACTGTCTTCCTAACTTTAAACTGAAACCGAAGAAATTATTGCATTTGTAAGCTTGATAGAATCTTTAGAATATGGTTTGCATGAGATTGAAACATTGTTATATGCTATATGGATATGCTGTTAGGAATTCCCCTCGATGTAATTCCTCCTTTGAATTCGACCTTTGATGTATCAGGGTAGAGAAGTCTGTAAGGAATATTGGCTTTGCCCCATCTGTTCTTCAGCTTGGGATCTTCATTTCTCTCCAAGATTTTCTTCTCTACTTCTTTAAGATTTTCGTTGAACTTTTCAAATTTTTCCTGAGCATCTTTATTGTCTATCCACTTTGATGATGGCCTTTGACCCAAGTATTCTTCATCAGATATGTGCCGCGAGAGGACCTCTAGTAATGCTATGCCAAGAGTCATCTGAATTCTTCCAGGCAACATTTGGAGGAAGTAGTTGTCTGGATCACTTAAGAACTCAGCAAATTCTTCTGTCCCTTCATACGGAATGAATTTCCTACATAGAAAGGGGCGACTTGGAGGGTAACCAGCATATGCATATTGTCCAAAATTCAATGAAGCATGGAGGCCAGATGCTATCCATATGAGGGTGGTTAGAGCCTGCATTAATTCAGACCGAGTTGTCATTTCATACCACCATGTCTCCTGTCGCTTGTCACCATGACCAACATTTCTTATTTCGGACCACCAGGCTTGGATTTCTACATCAGATCTGACAGAATCATCATCTTTGTAGAAGATATCACAAAAATCTTGCACCCATGCTTTGATGGCAACCCATATGTCAAGACCATCTAGTCCGTAAGGATAGTCTTGAAAGAGGATGAAAACTTCACTGAAGCTTTGTGTATCTTCTAAGGCCATGCGCCTGAGAAACAAATGAACACCAGATATGGCAATGTTAGAACTAGCAGTTTAACTACATATACTTGATTCAGCTCTAGTAAAAGTGTGCACTGTCCTTCTCATGTTAGCTTCTAAAGAACAGAGCAGTGCAATTCCAAATGATTTACAATGATCTATACCTATTTAAAAGATCAATGGAGAGAGCTTGTTCATCGAATCTCCACTCTTTATATAGCTCAGAAGACAACTCCATTGAACAGCTGCCTGAGAATAATGTATTATCAAAGATTCCTCCAGCGTTTATGAGAAAACTCCGAGCTAGCGCATTTATGTGCATTGTGTCTTTGAAATGAGGATCTAGCAGCCTATGAATTGGATGCATCACGCTCAGTTGCCTTCTAGTGGCAATGATGAATGGCTCCGCCACCATGTGAGTATGCAACCTTTGAAAATAATCATTAGTTCATGGATGGTTCATGATGAATCTTAATTAAAGACAGAATAGTACGAAAATGCTTTAGCTCACCAATGGTTAATGAGCTGATGGTATACTGAGTCATTAGCCGCGACATGTGCTTTTGCAAGTTGCCACAATGCTCTGTCAGTTCCTTCACTTGCTGGAACGAACACCCTACTGATCACCCCAGGGAAGCTCAGTTCAATGGCCACTGGCTTTAATGTGGCATCATTTCTCAAGAAGAATAGTGTTCTGGATGCGTAGGTGCAGGCACCCTCCTCTAAGAATATTCTCTCTAAAAATGGCATCAGATAGTCATGGTGGTCCAAGATGTATAACCTCCACTGTTTCATTGCCTGTAATGTGCAGATGGAAATCAACAAAGTGAAGGAAATTAAGATAACTAAATAACTAGTGTTGCTTGATTCTTATTGTTCTATTGTAGTTTTAGGCAAAAGCTGTGGGGAAGGAGTAAGATGACAGGATACACGTTCAAGACTCAGCCCATCAAGGTTGTGCTCTATATGTGATTGGTCTATGCTACTCCCTTCTGGTGGAAATGTCTGCAAAAATAAACTATTTCAATGTCTTCTTTATTTTACTTATTCCTTAATAAGTAGAAATAAATAACTAAATGAAATTAAGGTAACCTCTAAGCCCCTAATCCGTGTTGGATTTGCTCCCGCAAGCATTTGGTGCCCAAACTCTTCATCTTCTATCCATGCAGTATCATTAGCTGATAATCAAAATCAAGGGATTAGTGGAAATAAAGGAAGAATGCATGCAGAATCTTGAGTGTGAGAACTAGTAATGGCAGATTTTAGTCAAGATCACCTGCTATAATTTGAGGTAATGGGAAATTTATGGAGTCTAATTTGCTTGCATTAGTAATTTCTTTAAAAAAACCATCTGTTACTAATTTCTTCATTATCTTTGCAACCCCTCCCTCCAGAACTTGGTCTCTGTTGCTGGAAAACAGGTCAAGAATCTCATCAAAGGACTCGAAATCAAGACCGTTGGATTCCTGGAACAATTTCTTTGCCTCAGGTACAAGGAAATGTAGTGTAGCCTGGATTGCATTCCTTTTGAATTCAGCTAGTTTCTTCGGGCTGAATCTTTCGTCTGGAGGAACATATATATCAAAATTAAATAATTCTGGCCGGCTTTCAGTTGATGGATCTGTATGTTAAAACAACAACATGAAATTTTGTGTAAGAATTTCCAAACTCGAAAAGAAGCAAAGCAAAGGGAAAAAGGTGATACCAGTTTTGTTTGGAGGTCTCCCCGTTCTCAGCCTACGAGGGAATGGATGCAAATTAGAGCCACCTAACACAGGTCTAATGTATTCTGGATCTTCATCAGGATTGCCAAGATCATTGTAGTAGTCGTACTCATAGATTCGATCCCATTTCTTCCTTTCTCCAGTTCCATTTCCCCTCAAACTTACAAGTTCCTCCCTCCGTAATTCCACCAGACCTCTAGGTGTTTGGCTGGGAAGAAAACACTGCAAGAGAAACATAGTACTAATGTAATAATCTGGTATTAGAGTGTTTTTTACAAGTTCTTGTCTTGGAAAAAAATTTTGGTATTCATATAACTTACAGAGTTTGAGAAGAATATCCGATTGGATTTGGTCTTTTTGATGGGATACACCCAGGACCTGCAGTCGAAGTGGATAATCTGGTTCTCAGAAGCTTGGAGGGTTGCATGTTGAAGGAAGAACTCATGCCTGTGCTGGTTTCTTACGACGAAAGCGCCTGGAACTCCAAATCCTGACTCCACGAAGAACTTCACTTGATACGTTGTGGTTCTTACATCATCTTGTTTGCTGCTCTTTCCTTCCTTGAGGTATGCTTTCTGACTCAATTTTCCTTTGCCAGTATCTGTTTTTACATCAAATTATTATTACATTGCATAGACATATTCTTGAGATGGTTTTTATTGAATTAAAATGAACTTTACCAGGATCAACTTCTGTTGAGCTGTAGATTTGAACAGAAACTGACTTGCCAGGACCATACTTCCTGGAACCATGCTCAATAACAATTGTTCCCTCGATAATGCATCTGTTGTCAGAATTGGCTCGGAAAATTTTGCTTTTGACAGCACCAACACATTTTCCCACTCTAGAACACCTGCCATATTGTTCCATTTATTTTTTCCTTTTCTGCAATGATCTTCTTCTGCCTTGGAGAAAATGATTGTTAGGTCTTTTATGGGAAAATTTCGGTTTGAAAGAATAGGTATATTGCTTGTATTTGGAACATAACTAGGAAAGAAAGGACATGATGTTACCTTCAAGCTCAGGCCTTAAGCTATGCATCTGATTCATTTCTTGCCTTGGGAGGTTTAAGTGCTTGCTTAGCACTTTTGGTTCAAAAATGGCAAAACCGAAATCAGTGATGATCATCTGATTCATTTCTCGCCTGGGAGGTTTGCTGGCTTAGTACTTTGGATTCAAATATGAGAAAACTGAAAAAAACAAGGACATAAACTTTAATCAAATTCTTAATTGAGTTCGTGAACTTTGACAGTTTTGAAAGTAAGGATAATTTAGATGAAAAGTTGTCACAAAACATCTCATTATCTGCAATCAAAACCTTATTTTATGACAAGTAATTATCAAAATGCCAATTGCACTAATATTTTGATTCAAAGTCAGCTAATGTTTGCGGTATAACTTGCCATTTTTTCTTAAATTACCCTTATTTTCAAAGGTTGTGTCCTTGTTTCTAACTTGTGCAAACTTCATACACTCAATTCCATATTTGATCAAATTTGTGCCTTATTTTCAAGTTTTAATATAATTATTCGACGTTAATAACCGTATTCGTGTGGTAAAGGGTGATAAAATACGAGAGATGCCTACATTCTTTTTGGTGTTAAGATAACTTTTGTCAATTTTGTACCGTACCAGTCGATATAGCTGGTACATATCATTTTTTTTTTAAATTGAAACATTACAAAATTTAATTTTGTTTTGGTCAAATTTTGTTTGTTTCGATTAAATTTCAATATATCGACTGATATTTTAATGTAATAACTAGTACACAAAAAATGAGTATCCCCAAATGAATTCAAATTTAAAGAAGGTAAATTTCAATTTTGATCTTTAACTTTAATGTTTTGCATAATTTTTATTTTTTAATTTTTTTATGTATTTTTTTAATTCATCAACTATGAAAATTGTATTTTTTTAATCAATTCAAAGTTAATGTTTTGTATAATATTAAACTAAGAAACTGTTATACTTTTTAATATTATCTTAATATTAAAAAAAATTTTGGATATTTTATAAAATTAATTATTTTAAATTTGTTTTCGATTTATAAAAATATGATGTTTTAAAAATTAGTTTATTTTATTATTATTTTAAAATTTGATATTTACTTTATAAAAATATATATTTATAACGATAAATCTGAAATGATATACAAAAAATTTTAATATTTGGTACATATCATTCCAATAATAAAATTGATAAATATGTTGATACGATATTAACAACTTTAGTTGAAACATAGATATTCCTCCACTAAATTACAATATATATTCCTGCAAGAGAAAATAGTTCTTTTTTTATGGATTCTCCTGTTGTGATCTATTAATGGTCACTGTAACTCAACAGCATTGCCGGTGAATTACACTCCTAACCAATAGTCAAACCTTATCCAAAATAAAATTTTAAGCTAACTAACTTTTAACCTTTAATCATTGCCCTATAAAAAAAAAGAAAGTTCTTTTAAAAAGCAAAGTGACTTTATTTGAAAAAAAATAAATAAAATTTAGTGACCTTATTTTAAAAATTCCTCAAATTATTATTTTAATTGTTCTCATTGAAAATAAATTAAAACATCTTCGTTTGTAAAATGAAAATACTAAAATTATAATATTATATAGTTTCATAAAATTAACATATATTATATTATTATTATTTTTTGAACATTATATTATTGTATAATTAAAAAATATCACGTTTTATATCTTTAATATCGATTATAATTGTAAATAGATAATTTTATATAATATTATAATTATATTATTATTTCTTTTAAAATAAAAATGAGATTATTTTAATTAGCAAAGATGTTTTAATTTTCCACCAACCTATAAATAAAAATAAAAATTATTTTCCATTTTCAGGCTGTGCTGAACCATCGAACAAAATTAGCCCCAAAACCCACATTGGAATACCGCAGCTTTCTTCGACAATGGCGATATCAACACTCCACAGACTCTCCTCCCAAATCCACCGTCTTCCCTCTCTCTCTCCATCTCTATTTTCCAGATCCTCCGCCACCGCTGCAACCGCCACCACTGCAACCACCACCGCATCCAAGAAGGTCGCAGATCGAATCGTAAAGCTCTTCGCCATTGATCAGGAGGGACAGAAGCGCGAGGTTGTCGGGCTCACCGGCCAGACCCTCCTTCGTGTTCTTGCCAATAGCGGACTGATCGAACCCGCCTCCCATCGCCTCGAGGAGATCGACGCCTGCTCCGCTGAATGCGAAGTCAACATCGCCGAGGAGTGGCTTGAAAAGCTCCCTCCACGCTCCTACGACGAGGAGTACGTCTTGAAGCGCAATTCCCGGGCTCGCGTCTTGAACAAGCACTCCCGTCTCGGCTGCCAGGTCGTGCTCACGCCTGAGCTCCAAGGTATGGTTGTTGCTGTCCCCGAGCCTAAGCCCTGGGATATTCCATAAAATGAAAGAGGGAATACCTGGTTTTTTCTTGTGGTCTTCTTCTGCTGGGAGTAATAATGTCAACAATTTGGGACCCTAAAACATGTTTATTTTCCCTTTTCTTCACTGCCCATGTTATTTGGCGTATGTTGGAATTTGAAATCTATCATTGTATGAATTTTTACTGCCTATTAGGAATGGCAAAGGTTATGTCAATTTGGATTTCTTGCATGTCTACACTCTGTTAGCTTGCTGAAAATGGTGGCAAAAATCAAATTCTAAGAAAAATTGTGACTAGTTTGTAAGTGGGTTTTGCTTCAGTTAAGCTTACGCTATTTATGACATTGGAATCAACAAATCTGATTATAGTCAACAAAAATGAATTGGCTGTCAGAGAGGAATAGAAAGGATGTAAATTTTAGAACTCTGATTATGACGTATTAGGAATTTAGGATCAACAACTAATGAATTGGGTTCTGTAGAGAGGAAACGAAAGAATGAGAGTTTTCCATGATTTGGATAAGAGGTTAATCTTCCTTTTTTTTCTTGAAAATTGAGGGTGTCATTACTATTTTATACCTTTGGTACGGATGCCTTTTACCCTGCAGTAAATTAACAATCTTGCCAGGACCAAATCCTCAACCTCATCCTCTACCCAGTTGTGCTAAGAAAAATTGTGGGATGTATTAACTTTGGCATTTCATTTCTTCCATTTCTTCGGTACCATTCAGAAACATAGTTGAGCTTCCTGCTTGTCTTTTGGACTTCTGCTGTATCTGAAATGAATGAAGCTTTTGATGTGAATATGAAATTATTGAGTCAAGGAATAGTGAAAAATTCCTTTCAATGTAGTTGGTTTTTTGGTTTTCAGTTGTGCAAATTGAATGAGTTCTTGGAACCTTGTTATCTCATGCTACATCTGGTCTGATTTAGCTGTCCCACTCACTAAATAGAGCTGGTCTAAATTCATTGTCACACTTTCCTTTTTAAAAAGGCATTAAATGCTAGTATTTCAATTTTACCTGTATCTGGGATGAAATAAAAATGTGTTAGGGTTCTCAGTTTAATCGTGAGTAAGGATGAAAATGGAAAGATAAACACAAATTATTATATTTAATGAGTTTCTTGATAATCATGAATGCATAAAGTTGGACAACTAAATCAGACCAAAGGGAGTAATTGTTTAGGAAGTGTAGGAACGTAGTGTTAAAGAATTTGTTAGGTTATTCCTCGAGATTAGTGTAGACTAGTTTAAAGACAGATTCTGATATGAGTGCAATGCTGATTTGAGCTTGACTGAAATTTCAGATTTCTCTTGGAAAAGCTTAACAAATTATGCTAAAGCATAAAATTGAAATTTTGTAGTTGTTTGATGGCAGTATATTATCCTCTGGAGAACATATCTTCACGTATCTATTCTGGGGTTTATTTTTTTGATAATTCATCCATTAATATTTGTTTTTTGGTTGATTGCTTTTCTTGAGAAAAGAATCTTCGTAGTATTTAAATGATAAATGAAACTAGTTCATATAGCATACTACAAGAAGACATCGCTCTGACTCCCCCTCAGATAACTTAGAAACCCATCTTGTCTTACATGATCTTACTCTTAAAATAGTTGTCTAAACAGCCAGGACAAGCTTGAGAATGCCCAGTTGAAATTAAATGGTATGGTACCTATATTAAATGGCTCCATATCAGTTTTGTTGGTATTGGACTGCATTATTGATGAAGAAGCCAGTCTAAGCTCCGTGATTATGTTGGATTGTTTGTTGTCACTTATGGTATGCAACTGAAATTTTGAATTACCTGGCCAGTGACTGAGATAATGACAAAAACCTCACCTCACATGCAGTTAATTGGTTCCCCATATTACACCCTTAAGCACTTGCTGTATTCTTGAACTGTCCTTAAGACCTTGAATATTAGCTTAAGTTGCAATGGTGTAGGTTAGGACAAGGAAAGCCTAATTAGGATTCAGATTTTATAAGTTACAAAGGAAAAGTAGCATTACAGAAGTACAGATGCATCTCTCAGATTTTTGGAGGTGTTACTAGACAGTGAAGGACCTCATTCCGGTTCCCATCACTCAGATTTTTTGTGGGACATGTATTCAAGTCCCATTAAGAGTGTAGATACTGATTCTTGCCTAGAGGGTGGAGATGCATTTGGTAGAAAATACTAGCTTTTGGGCAAAACCATTTAGAAAATTTCACCTGATTAGATCTTGACAGGCCAATCCACTTGCTACATTAAAATATAAAAAAAGAAAAGAAAAAAGAGAGAACATTTTCATTCTTTTTCAATCTCACTTCAACCCTTGTGTGTTGGCTTCTATGTGATGTGTGGGATTGTATCTGTGGAGAATTTGGGAACAAGTTTCCTGCTCAAGTTGCAGGTGAAAAAGGCGAGAAAAAACCTAGGTCCAATCTTTGTTAAAATAGCTAGTCTAGAATGGCTGAGGATTTGCCATGTTCTTCCTTTTCTGGTTTTTCTTGCCATGTATTCAGCTGCTTGCTTATCAGGATAAGAACATTTGTGTTAAGACTTATTACCAAATTGTGCTTTGAAAAATGCACATTTGAATTATGTTCTTTAAATAAATTTTCTTTCATCAAACCTCCCAATTGCATTTGGGGCTGAACCTGTTTTATGTCCTCTATATTATGCCTCTTTCTATTTTCAGTACTCCATGGAACTCTTCTATCTCCTCATTTCTCCACCTTTATTTACTCCCAACACAAAAGCTGCCTATATTGTCATTTTTCATTCACACAATCTATGGATGCCCCCTGGTTAAGGAGTTTTAATCTAGTTGTGGGCTAACCCACTATTTAACTGGAAACCAAGCCCAGAGTAGTTGTCCGGCATACAGAATCATCCATCCGAGGGGCTGGCAGCTTGTATCCACTAGGCCCTAGAGAATTTCCAACTGGGCAACAATATTACTGAAAATTTCCGTCTGAAAACCTTTTAAGAATGGGTTTGTGGATTTTGTGCCCTTATTATGCAATGATTGTATGTAAAATTTTTAAAATTTTAAATTAAAAAGAGAAGTTCTGATATTAAATTCAAGATGGGTTAGTAAAAAACTAACACTTAGTATTTACAATTAAAATAAAATTTATTTCTTTTTAAAGATAAATGGTAGTAATTATTTCTCAACAATTACTCATTATCTTGTGCTCTTAAATAAATCATTTAAGAATTTGCTTAGATCACGGTAGAAATAATTGAACATATCAAATTTCTAGCAAAAGTATAATGTTGCATGCCTAATTATAATAACAATGATATAATTATAATGTCACATAAAATTATAACTTTATATTTATAATAAGTTATTAAATAAATGATTACATACAATATTATAAATAACCTTTTGAATTAAAAGAATAAATTATATAAGGATATATAATAATTATAAATTTATAATATCGTGATACTATATTTTCATATCATTTTTTCAATTATAAGAGCCAACTGCCCAACCTCCAAATTTAGCTCTCATGCGGCAAACCACAGTATATTTTCAGTCTTTCAGATATGGTTCTTCAACATACTTTCCCTATGTAAACGGTTTTTTTAGCCAAACCCTATTTACACGTTTTGAACACACAACAATAACAAGAAAAGTCCCAAAAACAAGAAAATTGAAAACCATTCATCTTCAACAAATTTAAAAACAAAATCGCCTTAGCCATTTTTGCTTCAAAATTTTCCTCATTATATACATCCCTCTCTCCTTCCACTTTTTTTTGTCTCTGTTAACCTCACCTCGTATTCAATTTCATCTCTTCATTACGCTCCTTTCCATCTCGACGTCCCTTCCAAGGTTTTTGAGCTTCATTTCCATCTCTACCTAATTGATTGAAGTTTGCTCCCTCAATCGTTGTCATCACAATTATGGATCTTGCAGAACTACATCGAGTTTTTCAGATGTTTGATCTCAATGGAGATGGAAGAATAAGTAAGAAAGAGTTGAGTGACTCATTAGAGAATTTAGGCATCCTCATCCCCGAGAAAGAATTAATTGAAATGATCGAGAAGATTGACGTGAATGGAGATGGTTACATGGATATCAACGAGTTTGGAGACTTGTACCAGACAATAACAGAGGAGAGGCACGAGGAGGAGGACATGAGGGAGGCGTTCAACGTGTTTGATCAAAATGGGGATGGATTCATCACGATGGAGGAGTTACGGTCAGTGCTGGCTTCGTTAGGGCTGAAGCAGGGAAGAACCCTAGAGGAGTGCAAGAAGATGATAATGAAGGTTGACGTGGATGGAGATGGGATGGTTAATTTCAAGGAGTTTAAACAGATGATGAAAGGTGGCGGTTTTGCTGCATTGAGTTCAAGTTTATAGAAGAATATTATTGTTTTTAGGGTTCAGCAACGAGAAAAATCAAGAAATGAAAATGAAGAGGAAGCCTTTGGGAATAGAGGGTAACTCTTCCATTCTTGTACCATTTTAACTAAAAAAAATTACATACAATTAATGTTTCTCTTCTAACAGTGTTAGCTTTGTTAGGGCTGAAGCAAGGAAGAACCCTAGAGGACTGCAAGAGGATGATAATGAAGGTTGATTGGAGATGGAATGGTCAATTTCAAGGAGTTAACTTTAAACAGATCGATCAAAGGTGGCGCTTTTGCTTCATTGAGTTCGAGTTAATAAAAAGAATATGTTGTTTTTTAGGGTTTAAAAACTAGAAAAATGAGGAAATGTAAAGGAAGAGGAAGCCTTTGAGAATATAGAACTCTTCCATTCATGTACTGTTTCAATTAAAAATTATAGACAATTAAAGTTTCCCTTCTGAATCTAGTGTCATTAGTTTGATTTTTCACTTTAATTGAGCTTTTCAGAAAACATTTGGGCCCATACATCGAAGGAATTTCCAGTTTTTATCCTCAAAAGTGTTAGAAACAAAGTTGTAAGAGACGGTTCCGGTTGGTTACACGTGAAATCTAATTGTGATGTTGCTGCAACATGAAGGTGATGCAAGAAAGCTGCATTGATGGCACAAAGCGTGCAGAAAGAAAGCCTGCTTCAATGGAGGAAAACTATGCAGAAACATATAAAACTGTATTGATGACTTAATGTAGGAAAAAGTGCAGCAAACAAAACTGCATTATGGAAGCAAATGAAATACAATGCAAATGAAAGCTGTTAATAGATAGTAGGACGGTAAATGGACGGCAAAGACAGAGTAGCCATGTAATGGCAGCTAATGATGTACATGTGCCTTGGTTTTGTTGTGCCGAATAAAAGGATGGTTGGTGAGTACAACAGTGCCCTGACCTTTACTCCTACTCTAATGCTTCATTAAAAACGCTGAAGAATTCTTTGGTGGCTAAAAGTATAGTTCGAGACCTCTCAACTAGAAGGAACATTTCATGTCATTATACAAAGAAGCAGTGCAACAGAAATTACAAGTTCTCTCTGATTATCAAGATGCTTTTTCTTCTTTTACTTCATCTGACACAACCCTGCATTCAAAATAACAAAATCTTTAAATGAAAAATAGAGAGAATATGAACTAGCCAATGAAATAAGCATTCATTAAATTTTAAATCCAGTGGATGTAGAAATCAGCAGTGTATAACTTCAATCCACCTATAAGCAAAAAAAGATCACGGTTCTCAAATGACTTCAATGATGTTCTCCGAATGCATTTTGAGGAAAGTTGTGGGAAACCTTGTAAGCTCTCAGCAGCGTGGTTCAAAAGAGGCAGCTGTCATTTAAAATGTAAGAACTGCAGCAGGCAAGGGATACAACATAGGAGTTTGGAACCTAGAATGGTTTGTGCTATGAGTTGGTGCCCCCCTTGCCCTGGTTTTCTGAACCACACTGCTGAGAAATTTAACAAAGTCCAAAGAGAGATAGTTTGCCTAAAATACTGAGGAGAGCAAGCAAACAATTCTGTCTGTAATCCACACGCATATTAACAAATATGCAGATTAACTATATATGTTGCGGTTTGAGTAATGACTAAAACATTATATCTCAATCCCTAATTAAAATTCTCAATCTCTTAACCCTATTAAGGTACTCATGGAAACTTGAACCCAGAAGTCTGAACCTCCACTCCATGAAAACAAAACCAACAAACAGTCAAACACAATTACAGCATACATTCTCTCAGATCGATATTGAGTCGTAAGAGATTCCATTATATAAAATTATGATGAAAATGCTGCCTTTACAGACAAAAAGGTGGATATTCAAAATTATATGAATTAATTTATACATCTTATTACCTAATTCTGTATAAAAGATATTAACATTTCCCATACCTAGGACAAGATTCAAGACTTACCTCATCTCAACATTTGCCACGGGCTGTTCACTGGTACTCGAGAATCTGTGTCGAGGCTTCTCATCGTCATCAGGATCTGAATCATAATCCTCCCCACTCCAAATGCGAGGTTTTGGTCTTCTATCCATGTCCTCTTCTGCCTGCAACCAACCAATCCAAAAAAAGATCAAACAGAAAAATAGAAGAAAAGTCAATGGATCATATGCAGAAAAGTAATTCATGATCAACCAAAACTGGCAACAAACCTCCTCAGGAACTTCAAGGGTTGATGGTGTTGTCTGAAAAGGAACACTGGGTGTGTGAGAGATCTTTGACAGCTGCTCTAGCAGTGTATTCCTGAAAGGGGAAGAAAAATGAAATTTGTCAAAAGAACTATCAACTGAAGGTTACAACAAGGAAATATTCTCATTAAAAGGGAAGAGTAACACAATTAAACTGGTAAGAGTGCAAACAAATCATGCAACAGCCAATCACCTTATCCTCTCCATATCTTTGGGTGAATTCAGGTTCTCCATGTTAGAGGGTTCAACGTGAAGGGTGTAATCTGGACCAAAATACTCATAATATTCATTGTAGGGAAGCTTATTATCAGGTTCTACCCCAACTGCAACCGCTGTCTGTGTTAAAGTAAAATAGGTAAGTCATTGGAAAAGTTTACCATTGCTCGTAGTACTATTTGTTAAAATTTAATCAAAATTGAGGAGAGCAAGACCTCATAGCACCAACATCGGGCAACATTCCGGATGGTATACCCTCCCCCACCCAAAACCATCAAAGGAACATTGAAAGATCTAATATAGCGAAGGCAATCTGCATGACCCTTCACAGACAAATTGAAGCAACCCAACCTGTCACCCGATAATGAATCTGCTCCACATTGGAGAACAACTGCATCTGGCTGATAAACCTCCATGACTTTTTGGATGAGGGGCTGAAACAGACTCTTGAAACTCTCATCATCCATCCCATCATTCAATGGGACATTCAAAGCATAGTACTTCCCCTTGCCAACCCCAACATCCCTTATGTGCCCAGTGCCCGGAAAGAAATCCCCAAATTTATGGAAAGACACAGTCATAACCCTGTCAGTGGTGTAAAATGCCTCTTCCACCCCATCTCCATGATGGACATCAATATCCACATACAGCACACGCTGCATAGACATCATAGACATTAAAATGAAGAATTCAGAAAAACGTGTCTACATGCCTAATGTGGCATTTGGATGCCTCAAGAATCAGAACAACAATAGACTTACATTACCTCAATTGTCTCCCTTCTCTAGAGTAAGATTCCAAAAATAACAATGAAGTACTAGGCAAATACTCTACAGTCTTTGGGGTGTTTCATATAGCGGTTTGAAACTAGAGATTAGTGGGTTTGTCAAATCCCACGGTTGATAATTGTTGTTAGAAACCCCTAACAGCTAGTTTCAATCCTTATACCAAACAAACTCTTAGAGTCCGAAACACAATAGGCGGACAAGAAAGTAGTAAAGGCAGATCAAAACCATAAACAACAAAAGAAATATAAACCAGAAAATGAAAGGACAGGACATATTACCTTGTGAACTTTGAGCAACTCAAGAATCCCGAGCACAATATCATTAACATAGCAGAAGCCGGAAGCCTCGCTCTTCTTGGCATGGTGCAAGCCACCAGCCCAATTGATGGCGATGTCAGCATCCCCTCTGTTGAGCTTAACGGCGGCCCCCATGGAACCACCTGCGGAGGCCTGACAGAAGCTGAAAAGCCCATCGAACACAGGGCAATCCTCGCCGACATTGTAGTGCCTCCAATCGCGAGAAACGGCAGCACTACTCGAGAGCGACTCAGGGGTGACGCTTGCGAGGAACTTGACGTAGTCATCGGAGTGGAAACGACGGATATCGGCAGGCCCGGCGGAGACGGGGCAGTTGATCTCCATCCGACGATGAAGGGAATAGTGAACGATGAGGTTGTGGGCCATTCTGATCCTGTGAGGCTTCATCGGGTGGCCCTGCCCGTAGTAGTAGTCGCCGATAGTCGGCTCGTAGAAGTAGCTCACCCGCCGCTTCCTGGCGTCGGGTCCGGACGGGAGCGACGCGCCGCCCGACGAATTCACCATGGTACGAAAACGGAAGACTCGTTTTCTCTTTTTTTCACTTCTGAGGAAAGAGCGAAAGGGAATTTGAGGACGATGAGATCCTCGTTAGTCTTCGAGATTTAAGGGCTGGTTTTAGGCCCATAGTTGCACCAATAAGGCTTGGACCAAATCACCAAATCTTGTATTCTTTCTTTGTTTCTTTCTTCTTCTTCTTCTTCTTTTTCTCTTTTTTTTTTTTTTTTTTTTTTTCTATGTTAACTATGCCTTGCCCTTATTAGTTGTTACAAATTTTTTTTGTTTTAAATTCCATGTTTATAATGAGAGCCAATTTTCTTTTATCATTTAATCTATCTTATCTCTATAACATGTAACTTAAATTTATGGTTTTTTTATTTTTATTGAAAAAAAAATTATCACTAAATTATGTTGTTGTTAGGCTTTTTTTATAATATAATTTGGTAACTTAAATAGTGGTAGAGTCAAGGCTTCTTTGAATGGAGACATATCAAATAAGACTCATTCATGTATAATTTGTGCAAACAATATAATGTTGGATAGTTGTTTAATATAATAGTTTGAAATTAATAATTAATAGTTTTATCTAGTCTGAGAAATGTGAATGTTTCGATTATTAAAACAATTTTCAATTGTCTGATTAGATGAAATAGTAAACCACTAGTTTCAAAATATTATATCAAACCCCCTTAAGGAAGACTCATTTAATAATACATGTATAAATTACCTTGGCCTAGTGGTTTTGAGTTTTTAATAACTTTTTTTTTTTCCTCTCTTAGGTTGCACAATGACAACAACTTTCTCCCATTTCATTCTTTAACTCAATCTATATATCTGCCATCCAATTCAAACCACTTATTTTTATTAGAAGAAAACTATCACTAACCTACTTAACTTGTTAGCAAGTTTCTAGCAACTGAAGTTAATGATTAAGTCCTATTTTTTGCAAGTTATTTTTCAACATTTCATAAAAAAAAAAGGACCAAAGTAAAGAACGAAAAAATGTAGGACCGAAGTGTAAAGACACGTTTCTTTTTCTTTAAAAGTAAAGGACTAAAGTAAATGAGCTAAAAAAATATAGGACCCAAGCGTAAAGACGCATCTCTGTCTCAGTACGCTGTAATTTTGGTCGCTCAGACTCCAAAGGACCCGACTTTGAGCTGGTCGACCGAAATGGCGGGGAGGATTTTGCATTCGACTTCAGTGGCTCTCCGAAAAGCTTGTCGGTTGCAGAACTTTTCCTCTAATTCATTCATGTTGATGCCCTTCCTTTACAGTGGTTCCCTTCTCCACACAACCAGGTACTCCTATTGCTTGGTGAGTTGATACTGTAATCTGATTCAATTTGCTAGGGCTTATTTGGATTACAAAACAGGCAGTGTTGTATGTCTCTATGTCTGATTATTGAGTTCTTCTTCCATTTGTGGGAACCCTTTTCATTTTGGGGGCTGGTTATCCGAATTGACTTGAAATTTGTATAAATCTCAGCTAAAAAGTCCTAAAGTTTATCCCTTTTTCCATTTAAAAGCCTTGTAGAAGCTTGTTAGGTTGTTAAAGTGGGATCATTAGACTTTGTGTGATTGAATAATTGATTGAATCTACATCTTTTGGTTCAAATTTTATAGGAAACAGCATTTCATTTGAGAAGAATTGCTAACAATTCAGTAGCTTGTGTGATGTTATATGCAAGGTTTTTGGTGGAGAATCGATTTTTGAACCAATCTATGGTAGAAAGAGGTTTCACTTAGGGGGACATGTATGGATCCACTCAGCCCCATTTCTGAATGCTGTTGACAATGTAATGGAGTTGGGCAACCATTCTGGAAACAGTGCCACTGTTGATGGTGCAGCTAGTGCTAAACCCAAGAGGAAGAAATTGAAGGGTAAACGAGCAGTGGTAAGGTGGTTAAAATTCTTCAGGTGGAAGAAGAAGAAAGAGTATGAAAGAATGACACCTGAAGAGAAAATTCTATACAAATTGAGGAAGGTAATTTCTAGTTTGTTTACATTATGCTTGACAAATTGATGAGGAAAATCCAAGGGTTTCTCTCTGTTCTAGAGTTGATTATGCCTTCCAGTGATTTTCAGGCTAAAATATTATTTGTACTAACTACAAATCGCTTATTTCTTTTACAGTTTTATGTATTTCTACTGTTTGCTCTTTCTTCAGGCGCAAAGGAAAGAAGAGAGGCTTGTCACAGCTTTGAAAAAGATTGAGCCTGCAGAATCAGCAGAAACAACCCATGATCCAGAGATATTGACTCCAGAAGAGCACTTCTTCTTTTTAAAAATGGGCCTTAAGTGCAAAAATTATGTGCCAGTTGGAAGACGGGGAATATACCAGGGTGTAATACTGAACATGCACCTCCATTGGAAGAAACATCAAACTCTGAAAGTGTTTGTCAAGACATTCACTCCAGAGGAGGTCAAGGAGATTGCTGCTGAGTTGGCTAAATTGACAGGTGGGATTGTGCTTGACATTCATGAAGAGAACACAATAATTATGTACAGAGGGAAGAACTATTCTCAACCACCAACAGAGATTATGTCACCCAGGGTCACTCTTTCCAGAAAGAAGGTCCTTTCTCTTTATCATTCTTCATCCTATTTCTCAAATTCTTTTTTGAATTGTATTGCAAATTTTTATTTTCTGATTAGTTCCAAGTTTCTTGGTGTTAAATCATTCTTTTGACGAAAGGAAATGAGTTCCATTAAACTTCTGAAAGAATTTCTTTGCAGATTCATTTTCATTTCACTTGAATGTCTTGGTTGAAGACCTTTTCCTGGATAAGTGTCAGATTCATAGAAAATTTTTTTTTTCTAAAAATTATATGGACTTTATTCTCTTGATTGTTTAATTCACTGTGGAAATGCTAGAAATTTAACAAGAACATACGGTACGTGTCTCTTATTGGAAGTCATTAACACCAGCCAGCAAAGCATATGATTATGATGGTCAAGTACCTCAAATTAACTTCCTGCTTTAATTAATTTCTAAACACCAGAAAATTTTCATTTTTTACACCTACCTCACTCTATGGTTTTCTCAGGAGCTTTAGAATGTTTCTTGATATATGCCAAGTATTATATTAATTGAGCTACCATTGGTGGTGGTGGATTATCCAGCTCTGATGGACAGCTCCACATTAGGGCAAAATATAGCTTGCTGCCTCCCTCTTTTTGTATCTCTTCCAAGTGAAGTTCTGGTGTGGTGTATGCAGAAAAACTGGGTTTGTAAATATTTTTTTGTGTTTTTCTAGTTTTGCATTGACGACTCATCATTTTCATTCTCTCTTATACAGGCTTTGGATAAATCCAAGTATAGGGATGGTATCCGAGCTGTTAGAAAGTATATACCGAGACTTGAGCAGGACCTTGAGTTGCTTCATGCACAGGCTGGTATCAAAGCTGAAAATAGAAATCACAGTGTAGTTGACACAGAAAACACTAATATTGACAATGTGGATTCTGGAAACCTCTCAAATTTGCAGTTGGAATGTTCGGATAAGCTGAAAGAGCTTCTGGACAGGAGCAAGGAACTCTCTGATGGTGAATCTTCCACTGATTCAGCTATTGCTACAGATTCTGAAGATTTGTCAGATATTTTTGAAACTGACTCTGAGACAGAAGCAGAGGATAAAGAAAAACAAAATCTTTATCTAGACCAGTTTGAGAAATTCCCAGTTGAAAGTGAAGGAGAACCCGATGATTTTGAGGAGCACCTGCGTCAAATATCCAACTCAAGAAAGGCAACAGCAGCATCAGAAAATAATGTTGACTCGCCAAACTTTGATGAGGTAGATCAGATCTTTCTGCGAGCAGCTTCACTCTTAAAGAAAAAGAGGAGATAGGAGATATAAACCATCTAGTTTTTATTGTTGTTGATATAGATGTTTATTCATTCCCATTTCGTCTATGAAGCTTCTTTTTTCAATGGACTTCCCTTTTAGAGGCTTGATCGCAAGACGAAATGCTTAACGCTTGAATTGCTTGCACCAATAGGATGTTTTTGTAGTTTGCAGGTTGCAGAATGAATAGAGCATAAATATTTAAGAAGAGCATGCTCATTTTTGCTAGTTTCCCTATTTCTTCCATTGTCAGCCCGGTCTTATCCTTCATCTTTCCCAAGTTTCCATGGAGCCTCAGCAAGCTCAAAGAAAAATTTCTTTTTTTTTGGTTCTGCCCTGATCATATATTTTTTTAAGGTAAAAGAGAAGGTTGCAGAATGAATAGAGTATGAATGAATATTTTAGAAGAGCAAGTTCATTTTTGCTAGTCCAAAGGCTTTCCACTATGAACTCGAGTATGCAGTTATGCTCAGGCTAGCGAAAATTAAATGCTATTTAAATTAGTACGATCAGCATCTGGTTCTGAAAAAGGGGGAAAAAAAGAAAAAAAGAAAAAAAGAAAAAAAAAAAGGCAGCAAAAAAAATGGAAGAAAAAAGAACATGCACAAAGTACAATGCATTAGACACTTTGACAGACAAAAACTATGTTAAATAAATGTGCAATCTGAGTCTTCAAGCTGTTCATCTTCTAGTTCTCTAACATTCTTGACGATGTCTTGAACTTTTGTTGACAAGTAATCAGTGTGTTCCTCCACATATTTCAATATCATGCGTAGTTGTTCCTGGTAAGCTGCACAGAGACGTTTACAACGCTGTTTCTCATTGTTAAGCTCTTGGGTCAGTTCTCGGATTCTCTGATCCTTCTCATCCTAGACAACAAAATCATGGTACAAGTGAAACGGGAAAATGATTAAAGGGAGACTCAAATGGCTACCATGCTTCAGAATGCCAAAATCATTATCCCTACAGGCTTCTAAAATGCTGACAAATGATGGTTTACTGATCTTAACCAACAACCCACAATCTGCTGTCCTTTTATTTGTTGTTAATCATTAATATGCCACTGCACTCAAACTAGGGTACCATACAATATTTTTAGCATGAACTCTCAACTGAACTCATCCTCACTATTTACTTGACACAAATTGAAGCCCTGGATATGAAATTGGATAAGCAACCCTGTCCAAGTTGTTTTTAGCTAATTGTAAATCAGGTGCTCTTAATTGAATGCTTAATGATGACTAATACATGAAGCCATGGCTTTGGTTGGCAAACCTGCTGCTCCCCCAACTAGAATGAAATGCTTGACACTACCAATCAGGTCCATATGAAACTTACTAGTGGTGGAAATATGAGGTCACATAAATATAAGTATTCTAGGAAATTAGTAAATCCAATAAATGTAAGCATTATATATATAAAAACACAAAGAAATCATACAATTTAAAGTGAATGATAATGTACCTCACTAACAAGACTTTTTGCAGAGCCTCGCCATGGTACTTTACCAGGAGACATTAATGGGTGATTGTGCTCTTTGACAAATTTGGTAACAACCCACTTATCTCCATCTCTGCAAGCAAGCCTTAGCATTGCAGCACAGCCTTCTCGAGTAATAGGTGGAGGAGGAAGAACTCTGTCTTTCCTGTATATGTATTTCTTTTCGCGAAACCCTTCCTTCGAACAAACAAAATCTTGACCAATTACCATATTATTAATTCGTGAACGGCGATTATGATGGATGCGCACAGTAAAACCATTTCGTCTACCATAAGCAACATAAAATTCCCGAGCAGCATCTCGAGACTTAAACTGCATGCCTACAAATGGCTCCACAGCATCATCAAATAAAGGTAAACTTTCAACCGGTTGTTCTCCAATCTTGTCAACTTCCCCTAAGCATAAATCAATATTTTTCGAAATCTCCTCATCATCAACCAACTCATGTTCATTAAAGCTTTCAACTTGCAAACACCTATCAGTTTCATCTAAATCAATCCCTTGAGTAGATGAGCTCTCCATGATGCTCCTAAAAAATATTTTCGTCCACCAGTTTATCCATCACGAGGCTGCAAGCAAAACAGGCCTCACAAAATGCTACCATTCAATACAAAACTAACAAGACAAGTAATAAGAAAATAAACTACTTGACATATAAGAAACTGAAACAGAAACTGACATAAACAACAGCATGACAACAATGAACCCTCATTCTAAATCTTGCCTAAAATGGACTGCAATATAGAAGATGCTTAAGAGTACCAGCAAAATGCTCTCCACAGAAACAGTTTGTCTCAACTTCCCAGCTTAACTAAGACTAGATAACATGATACTCAGACCAGCTACAGTTCTATCTCTGCATCATAATACCTGGATTAATAAAATGATTACTGGGAAAACTCAAGTTAATCCATTGTTCTCAGGGCACCTTATTCCCAGATGAATTTTTACAATATCCAACTGATTGCAACTTATCAAATTCCAAACAAGTTAATAAATTTTTGAACTTTCTCCCAACATTATCAAAAACCCATAATATTAACTTCCATTTCTTCTAATGCATTATGCAATTTCTGAAAGAGCTAGAACAGAGAGTGGGGAAAATTAGATATCACAAACCAAAAAACAAAGATCTCAGCTTTCCAAAGAAAGCAAGAAATTTCCTTCGCAAAGGTCTCCACTTTCCAGGGAACCAAACACAAAAAGGGGAAAAAATAGTAGTAATTTGAGATAAAGGATTGGGATTATTCCTTACCGGGAGAAAAAGTAGAAACCCTAGGATTGATAACATCGCTACGGCTCTGGTGAAGCGTAAAGTCTAACGTGATAGAGGGGAGATGCATCAGATCACATCTTTATTAGTGGATTTGGGCCCACGTTTTGAGCTATATTAGTAAAACGGCGTCGTTTGGTTCCCGAAAAATATATTTGGTTGGACCAGGGTGATGCATTGAAAAATGAAAATGATTTAAAGGTAATATTTTGTATTTTTTTATATAATTTTATATATCATTTAATTATTTTTTTATTCTAATAAAATCTTTAATATTATATATATTCCTTTATTTAATAATATATAAAAGTTTGTATAAAAAAATTATATAAAACATTATATATATATCATTACTTTACATTAAAACTATAAAAACAAGATGAGTGTAATTGGTGTGAATGTTCCCACAGAAAAAGTGCACAAATGCTTATGAATCAATGTAAACATCATTTTTTTTTTTTTTTGAGAAGGACAATGATTAGAGGTATTCGTGTGTTAGAGATGTTAGTATGTATGGAGGGTATTGAACCCGAGATATGAGATGCAAACCACGGTTTGCCTCAAAGGATAGTAAGTAACCGTTGCGCCACCCACGTTGAATGCCAATGCAAACATCATTAATAACTCAATACATATAAGTAATTAAAGATATTTAAATAATTTTATGATATTTTAATACTTTCTATTGTAGTAAATTTGAAAAACACTTTTTCGAATATAAGAAATTTATTTAAACGAATGGA